AGGGGCAGTGGCAGGGGCAGTGGCAGGGGCAGTGGCAGTGGCAGGGGCAGTGGCAGTGGCAGTGGCAGTGGCAGTGGCAGTGGCAAGGGAAGTGGCAGTGGCAAGGGAAGTGGCAAGGGAAGTGGCAGTGGCAAGGGAAGTGGCAGTGGCAAGGGCAGTGGCAGTGGCAGTGGCAGTGGCAGTGGCAGTGGCAGTGGCAGTGGCAGCAGCAGTGGCAGCAGCAGTGGCAGTAATAGTATAAATTGGACTGGGAAGGTGCAGGAGAGACAGCGGGTTGATCGGAGGGCGACGAGGAAGAACCGTCAAGAGTTCGGTGGCGGCGGCGGCGGGAACGATGGCTTCGGCGGAAGAGGGTTAGGTGACGCGGGGGGCTCTGTGGAGGTAGCGACGGCTATAGCCGGGCCGGAGAGGGGCGGGGCGCAGCTGAAGCAGCGCTGCTGGCGGTGGCCCAGATTTATGGGCGCCTTCTGCAGTTCGTTCGCGGGCGCGGGCGACGAGAAACGGCGCAAAAGGCGCGTGTTTACAGGCTCCCCGCGCTTCGAAAGGGGCATCTACCTCCATTTTTTGCTGAGCCAGTTCGAACTTAACATCACACAATTTTGTGAAGATGAATTTGATGCCTGTGAAAGGAAGCCAACCTTTCATTTTCGACTGAAAACATTTAAAACTGAAGAATATGAAGAGTAAATTATTTATTAAAAAATTCAAATATTATATCTCCCAAATACATATACTATTTTTTTAGTTTTTAAATAAATATTTTACTCTTCATACTCTTACGAGTTATAATTATTTTCTCGTAATGCTGATAGAATTCAAAATACCATTTCAAAAATGACCCAATAGATCGCACTTCGCTCAACCACCGTAGTAAGACACGTAAATTGACTGACATTGATTGACACGTAAATTGAAATGTGAGCAGCAGTCATTTTATTACCAGTTGATAATACATAGAATCTTATGCATGCGATACTTCAAATACCCCGCAAAGGCGGAGTATATTTTTACGTTGAAAATCCTTCTACCGTTCAGGTTTGTGACCAGGCTGTACTGTTTACGAAACAGCACTCATAGTGCTTAGGTAACCTATTCTCCGAAATCTCATTCGATCACGTCCGAATACATTAATAATACATTAGAGCTATAAAGCACGCGTATTCCACAAGATCCGATTTTTTTTCGCGAGCGCGGATTTCGGGCCGGAGTGCTGGCAGGGATTTACGAAGTCGCTGGCCGGGCGAGTGGACGGGCGGAGCGGGGACGGGGGCGGGGGCGGGGGCGACGCCGCCAGGAAGCGGCGGCCCAGTGGGCGACGCGCCAACCGCCACCGGCGACGGCAGCGCCCCACGCGGAATACCGATGCGGGGGCGGACGGACGATGCTCGCTCCACGCGAAACCGTCGCGTTGGGACAAGCGAAGGCGGCGGCGGCGGCGACGGAGAAAGAAAGAAAGAAAGAGTGAAGGCGGGGCGTAGAAGTGATGCCCTCGTGGAAGCGGCAAACAAGTGTTGCTCGAAGATAAAGCACGCGAAGAATGAAGCACAGAAATCCAAGTTTAAGAGTCTCGAAAGTGTAGTATTCATCTCATTGAATTTAATCCTACAATTCCTCTTATGAAAACTTGCTGGACTATATACGTAGAGTTATTACTTTTCTGATACTTATTACTCATACATATACCAAAAAATCGTATTGGTTTTACCAATATATTGCAATAACAATGAAATGGAATTTCCAAATATTTTTCCAACACAAACACAAGTCATGGATTCCGTAGGCGGCGGTGATAGTGCTAGTGACGACGTTGCTAGGGGCGGTAGAAGTGGCGGTGCTAGAAGAAGTGTTACACTAGGATTTATTAAACTGACCACTCGAAATTGTAAATCAGCTGCCCACGTATTCATCCAATCGGGAGTTTGAACGTTTGAACGAACTAGTGACGTCACTGTAGCGACATGTAAGCTTCTGATTGGGTGAAACCGCAACAGCTGATTTAGTCAAGTGCACGACTAAATAAATCGTACTATAGAGACAGTAATGGTGGTAACATTGGCGGTGCTAGAGGTGGTACTAGTGTGGTAAAGTGGCGGAGCTAGTGGCTAGAGACGAAACCAGTGATGGTGCGATGGCAGCGGTGGTGCGCGTGGTGGCGGCGGCGGCAGCGTTACTGGTAGCGGCGGAAGCAGTGACGGCAGATGGTGGTGGTTCTGGTGAATGTAGCATTGGCCTGGCCGAAGGGGACGTTGGAAAGTGATGGGAAAGGCGTTATCTGCCCGGCGCCGACGCGTGTTACCTCACCACGTGCGAGTGCGCGCGCCACAATACGCCCCCGCAGGGGAGCAGGCACTTCCTCCGAACGCAGGCGGCCATTCAACCCCGTGGAACCTATCGTTGGCCGTTTCACACACGCCGCCTCGCCTTCACGCGCACTTTGCATGAGAAAGACGTCGCACCCACGCCTCTCAAAAGCGGCGATAGTGTTTCCTAGAGGAACCTGAGGCGCTGAAAGTGAAGGAATACGAGAAAACAATAACTAATAAAATAATAATAATAATAATAATAATAATAATAAGTTTAATAATACTGCATTTCAATCACGAATAGTAGAAGTTGTAAATATACAGAACGCAGTTTTCTACAATTTTCTCGTAATACTATTCTAATTCAAGGTGGGACTCATCACCAGATTTGTAGTTTAAAATTATTATCTTCAACCATTTTCTTCGTGTTTGAATGGTTATTTATATCGCTTTATTCTAAATACGTAATTTAACAAAGAAGGAAAAGGGTTCAACATTTTGTACTGTAATGCATTTTGTTATTTTCTTCGTTTAATAGAATAAACGGACAAATATGTTGTGGAATAGTCATCGCTATCTTGAAAGATAATGCTGGCAAGACTGTAAATTAGCACTGCTCCCAATATTATCTCCTTAAATGATTGCTTGCTTACGTTAGTTTACTAGTCACACCACAATGACACACACACACACGGAAAAAAGTTCCACGATTGGATAACCTATCTATTTCCCAGAATCGAAAACGTAATCCATTATTTTTTTCCTCTTTGAAGGTCTCTGACGTACCCGCAGCAGGACCATCCATCACGCCCCATGCAAATTTCGACCGCGCAGCGTCAGAGGATTTTTCGGAGAATTCGCTGCGGTGGAGGTCAACAACAGGAGCAGCCTCTCGGACGAGCTGGCTAGCGACGTTGCAATACTTCAGGTACCTTTTTACTCATAACGAATGGAGTACAACCGTGATACGTTGACTTGCATAAAATATATTGTCATGGGACAAAGCAAGGGAAGGGGGTTGTTCATGAGAAGAAAGAAACGTTCAAAGTATATAATATACCAAATGGATTGAAGGATCACAATTAATATGTCGATGTAGTAATGAAAGTGAAATTTTAATTATCGTCAAAAAAACAAAAATAAGTATATTACACCCTTTTCTCGTTTATATACATTCCTTTGTTTCGTTCTAATACATTTTATACGACAGGTTATATTGCTTATTTCATTGCCGGTATTTGTGCGTTCAATGGCAGTAAATATGAAGGAAATGTGTTTTCATGTTTTCAAACTGATCGCCAACAGTACTGACAACGAAAAAACGTAATTTTTTTGTCTACTGTATGGGTCAAAAATGCTTTAAATAACCGTGTTCCTGTTGTATCTTCAGTGTATCCTTTGAAGAAGTACGTAATTTTTGTATGTATAAATAATATGTTTGTTAAAAAAGAAAGCGATTACAGAAAAAATGTTACCAACACTCGAATATATTTGAGTCAATGCAGCCCTCAGTGTTTCGAGGATTAGCGTTCTAAACTTCGAGTTGGCGTTTTCTTGAAATGGACAAAGTGATTGACATCTTTGTTGGTTCGTCGCTGGCGACGAATTTGTCAAAATTAGGTGAAAGGTGACTTGTACTAGACCAAATTAAATAAAAAAATCACTATAGCCAAGGTGCGTTTCAAAACTCCACGCATTAAGCACCATCAACAACAATACTTTTTGAAGAAAAATACACATTTTCTGTTTATAAAATCAAATTCAATATTTGGAGCTTCGATGATTGACAGTATTGACATACCGACACACACGACATACTAACATCGCGTCATCTGAATCAATTGATCATTTGGTTTCAGGTCTAGGCATCCGGTAGTGAAAGCACTGACCGGCAGGTACATCACCGTTGCCCGCAGGGTGATTGATTGAATTGGTTGCTGCACTAGCAAAACCTCACCCAGCCTCTTCTGTTGCTCAATCCCTGCCGTATCCTTTATCCGGCCCGGTACCACCACTAAATACAGCATCGTCCCCAAGACCCGTTACACGTCCGTCGTGTCTGGGAGACCGCGACGAGCAGCGGCCGCCCCACGGCAGGAGCCGCCCCCACGGCAGGAGCCGCCCCCACGCCGCGCGGCAGCCCATAAGCGGCGGCGCGTGTATGGGCGAGCGGGAAGGCGCGGCGCGGCGCCGCGCCGCGGCCGACACAGGCGCCGCCGCACGCCGCCCTCCGCGCCTGCGCACTGGCAGGAAACACGGCGCCCGGCCCACGCGCTCCGCCGCCACCACCGACGCCGCTGCACCGGGACATGACAGGCGCTGGCGTAAACACGGCGCGGCGCGACACGGCACGCGACGTCGCGAGAGGGCGTTGCGACAGGCCGACCGGCCCACAACGCGGACTTCCAGTAAAATGCGTTTACAATACACACGCGAATTAATGCTGGAATGCTGAAGGATGAAGTAATTGAAGCTGTTACTCTTTGATTTAAATTGAGTGACTTCAGAGTGGTTATCCAATCGGGATGTTCAATACCAAATATTAGGTCGTAACAAACTCCCAAATGGATAGCCGCCTCAAAACTGATCAACAGTCGGAAGTCATTATTTGAATCGAGGTTTAAAGCAATGCAATTTCGTTGCTCTTGACGAAATAAGCAATGAAATGCCTTACGATACTCTTTTCGTAAATAGCTCTTACTTTACTGCAAATAATTATAATCTACGTAAATCGTAATGAGTGTTCGTTTACACCTCCTTCACATCATTTAAACAACGAGGAACGCCATCCTTGTGACAATTTATCGTGACCTGCAATCGCGTTTTTTCCTCTAATTTATTTTCTAGGCAATCTTAAACCTTTCATGACATTTGCGATAATCAGGGTGCAAATTGACAAAGGGAGTATGTTGAGAACCGTTCCCCTTAAAGAAATTAATGTCAACTGCAGGAAAAAGTATTAAAATGTCACTAACAGGAACACGATCAATCTATACGTACGTGATTCAATGATTTCCACACTTCGATCTATCGATCGATCGATAGATTGACCAATCGACTGATTGATGTTTCCGAGCACATCTACAGCAACAGTCATTAATCCTGTTAGCGTCGTGATTTTGTTAAACGCCGATGTCGGCGCTCTGAGTAAATCTGCTTCTGAACTACACTCATCCGACCCCACATTTTGAAATGTTCAAATCAAGGAAATTAGAAACGTAATCATCTCCAACAGCAATCTCATGAATTTTCCACACAGTGCTGCTTAAGCAAGAGCAGTCTTTCTTTTACTCTTCAATTAGCCGGTTCGTCTCCTTCCCCTGCAGTTCTCGGCGCCCCTTCTTCTGGAGAAAATTGCTAATTCGCACCCTGGTAGATCCGTTCCACCAGCAAAGGCAGAGTGTGTCGGTGGCAGCGGTGCGTGGGAAGAACCCCCACCCCACCTTCACCAAGGGCCTAACGCGCAGGCGCCGTGTCAGGCGGCGACTCACGGCTGCGGCCTATAATTTGTTTCGTCGCGCTTCACTAAAACCTCGAGATTTCCAGTTTCCGTTAGCCACGCCAACGCTCTCGCGGCTACACTAATGTTGTCGGTCAACTGGCCAAAGCTTGGAAACCGATGAGGAGGAGGAGGAAGAGTATTTCGCTACGGTGATATGTTAACGACGAGGATTACGAATTTTAGTTTCTACAACAATTAAAGAGACGTTTCTACAGTTACCAGTAGCAAAAAAAGTTAAGGGTCGCTAATAGGATTGAAATATCAAACTAAATTAAAATTTTGTCACCATTTCGTTCACTGCTTAGTTGCGCTAGAGAAGTCATTACTATGATCGTATCATTTGCGAAGGAAATAATAAAAATTTAGTATATCTGCTACCATGTTCTGTTTGCAATTCTGTTCGCAATTCTGTTCATGCAGTTTCACTATCCTAGGGGCAACCTAAGCTGAAGTAGTTAGATTCCTCGCCTTGTACCTCCGGGAGCCGGAATTTAATTCTCGTTCGATTCATTTGGAATGTGTGGTGGACAAAGCAGCGGGAGATTTTCTCGAGTTTCTTCAATTTTCCCTACCTCTTCTTCCATCATTGCTACTATCGTCACTCATATCATTTTACTGTAATCGGATATCCATTAAAATCATTTGACGTTTCCAGGTATGTCTACAAGAATAGTAACTGAAATGATAATAAAGGTAAAATTTCGCTGTTCTAAACCAGGGAAAATAATATTACACAAAAGGTAGGCAATTAATTCCGCCACGAAAACCAAATAATACTTGAGCTATTTCTGCCTGGCATCCTGCTACGCTACACCTCTCACCCCACACTCCTCGTCATCTCCGCCTCTTCCATATTGAGCGGCATTGTCCCGAGAGCGCTCCGCCGGTCTCGCTCCGATTCTCGCCCATCCAACGGTCCCATTCCATCGCGTCTACGTAACGCCCCGCCCCACCCCGCCCCGCCCCGCTCCACTTACTTCCGCATCCGTCTACCTCGTTGCGTCAGATCTGATCGCGAAACCGTGCGTCTCGTCATCCCTTACTCCCACGATTGCATCTCGTGAGGTAACTACTACCAAACGTCAAAGCCTCCAAGGGAAGAATTACTTACTGGAGTGCCGGATTTTGGTTTTTCGTTCGTTCTTGTCAACTGTTTGCTCTGAACAAAAATATTATATATGAATCTCTATCCATCAAAAAGAAAAATACTGTGAGCGTTAGGCTTCGAATAACTTGGTAAACATCAATGGGGTAAAAATAAACATCTTGAGATAATATTGAAATTAACTTTACTTTTTACAAACAGGTAAGTTGTAGGAATCATTATTTCATTACTATCTACTGACATAATTCAAAAAAATCTGTGAAAATTTATTATGTGATTTCATAATGAGATTAAGCAACGCATAATATGCATATACGAGTTTTCATGGCCACGTATTCTCCAACATGAGCCAAACCACTTACGTGAACTTGTGACAAAGTCAGTACAATGTGCTCTCAGCACAGCTACAGAATAAAAATACACAGTGACCGCTATAACTCAAATTCGAGGAACAAACTTTAACGTGATCAAATATTTATACTTTATTGAGACATGAGTTCCCGAGCCCTTGTGCTCATCTGGTTGGAATTGAATATATCAAGGAGATTTTATCATTTTAATACTATTCAAATATCGTATTTTTATTATAATGATGCATGGACGGAATTAACCCAAGAACAAGTTTATAGAACAACCAAAGCACCTGAAGAAAGCCAAAACTAGGAAGCTCCTACCCGAAAAGCGGCCTAGGATTTTCGTCCTCGCTAGCTCAGTTTTCGAACGAGTCTCTCTCTCTCACCCCCTGCTTGTACCCATCTGTCTTGTCGCGAGTGTGGTTCCACACTCCATTCTTCACCGCGTCTCCACCGGCTCTGCCCGTCACCCTGGTAGCCTCGCGCCGGCTGCGGCCACTCGCAGCGCTGCGGTCGCGTATTTTATCAGCGCCGCGTAGCAGCGAAAAGAGCCCTGCCGTCAGCCGGGAATATTTTACCCGTTTAACCTCCATTTAAAGGGGCACTAAACCAGTGGAAATTAAGGTCGACCTGCGCTGCAGTCGCGTGCGCGCGTGAGTAATCAC